AAAACCCTCTGAACCCATCTAAATCCTCCCGTAAATTCTTTATCGCTATTTGTGCGCATCATCTTTGGTATCAAGAGCCAGTGCTCCTCCGCCATGGGTGACGGCGTATCCACCAGAGTGCAAAAAGAAATCGCCCAGCTTCAACAGGGCACTGAAAAACTAAGATCTGAAATGGAAGCCATTAGAAACCAGCTGCGAGCCGAATTTCGAAACGATCTTCAGTCGGGGTTGGAGGCCGGCCTTGCTAAGATCTCATCTGAGCTAAAGCTTACTCTTGCGGGTCTTTTTCAGCAACGAGAAGCATATTCTCAATCATCTCAGGGGTCTCCGAGCGATGTGACAAAGTCTCCAATAGTTCAAATACCGGTTTCCTCAACCTCTGGGTCTCATAATGAGTCTCCTCGCCCTTTCACCAAGCACAGTAAATTAGAGTGCCCTCGATTCAATGGCGATGATTTCATTGGTTGGCTTTCGCGAATCGAACAATTTTTTGAAGCGGATGGCACTGCAGAGGATCAAAAGATTCGGTTAGTGATGTTGCATATGGAGGGACGCGCTTTGAACTGGCATCAACACTTCATGCGAATCAAAGGTACTGCACCTGTATCTTGGCTTGAATATGTCTTAAATATGCGCAGTCGGTTTGGTAGCAATGAGTATTTTGATCCTTTATCTGAACTGGTCAGCCTTAAACAAGCTGATGATCAAACTATTGATGATTTTTATGATAAATTTGAACCTCTCTTGAATTTGGCACAAATATCTGATAATCAAGGATTGAGTATCTTTGTGACTAATATTAAGGAAGATCTTGCTAGGGCTGTGAAAGCTGAACACCCTACTGATTTATATCAAGCTATCAACCTTGCCAGGCATTTAGAATCTGTCTATCTTCCCCCAAAATCATCTTCGACTGTTAACCCATCATACAAACAACATTCTTCTTATCCAGTTCCACTGTACACAACCCATTCGAGACCTCCAAATAAACCACCACCGTTAACGCCTACACCTTCAGCTCCCCCTTTAATCACTTTTCCTAACTCTAAACAAAACAGTCCATCAAAACAAACCTCACCACCATCTAAAACTCCTAGAATGCCATCTCGTGAGGAAAGAGATAGTAGGAGGAAGCAAGGCCTTTGTATGTGGTGTGGAGTTAAGTACTCTCCTAGTCATAGATGTGCTACTAAGTCCCAGTTTTATCAGATATTGTTAGAAGACAATGTGGAGCTATCGCCTACTACTGATTTGCTTACGGGTGATGATTATGGGATTGAATCTAGTGATAGTGCATTAGATCCTGATTCTCCACCTATTATTTCTTTAAATGCATTACTAGGTGCATCTGGTCCCAAACTATGAGAGTTATGGGTCGAGTTAAGAATCAAAATGTGCTTATGTTAATAGACATAGGAAGCACTCATAATTTTCTGGATTCTACTATGTCTAAGAGGTTAAGCTGCACCCTATTACCTATTAAGGGAGTCCCAGTGACTGTCGCAAATGGGGAGGATATGACATGTAAGGAACTTTGCAAAGCTTTGAAGTGGGAAGTACAAGGTCTTTGTCAAGTTACTGAGGTGCTTATACTGCCTTTGTTAGGTTGTGATATGGTACTGGGCATCCAATGGCTTAAAACTTTGGGGCCAATTTGGTAGGACTTTATACTATTGATCATGCAGTTTCAGCTACATTCTAGATGGTACACATTACAGGGGATACAAGCGGAGATTGTCAAGTTGTTAAATGACAAGCAAGCTTCCAAATTACCTTCACCCACCAAAACACTTTGCACCTTATTCCTTCACACCCCACCCATACAGCTCATGTCATTAAACATGTAATACCGTAAAATAGATTTGGTTTAGAAAATTAATATATATTGGATTAAAGGAGAAGAGAAATTAAGTGCTCAATTGAAATAAAAGAAGAATTTGAGATTTATATGAAATGGGCCTAAAGGTGAGAGGACCATTTGGCAATTTTTCCATTATCTCAAATATAAAACAACCACCATCATCATGTTCGACATTTTCCTGTTGAAGTTTCCCCTCCTAACCGAAATTTTCTTCTTCAATAGACCAAAGAGGTCACCAAGAAACCTACATGCAATTAGTTCAAATTAATCCTCTCACCTTGCTTGTCATGTTTGCATCATTGGATTCGAATTTTTCCAAGGTTTTGGCAATGACTATAGAGCTCAAAATGGATGGGGTAAGTTGTTATTTAATAGAGGAATCTTGATACCTTAATCTTGTATCAACACAAAAATTAATACATTGTTGTTTTGGGTGTATTTGAAGCTTAAAGTGTAGCATTTGTTAAGCATGGAGCTTGGTGAAGGATGTGGAGAGATATTGTTAAGTTTGGATTTGATTTTGGGTAAGAATCTCTTCATTTGGTGTTGATTTGATGTTATAAATTGTTTGAGTTTGCAATAGAAATTGTTTGGTAGTGTTATGGAGTGAATTTGTGAAGAAATTGGTTAAGAAAATATGTTAAATAAGCATTTTTTTGGGTTACCGAAATCTGGAATTTCCAGATTCCGGTGAATTATCCGGCGGCCGGGAATTAAAAGAAGAAAGGAAAAAAAAAAAGGGGGCTGCCAGCACCTGGGCCAGCGTTTGGGCCAGCCAAGCGTACGGCCCAAGCCACTGGCCTGGGGCGGGCTGGCTAGCTGTTGGGGCAGGCCCAACAGCAATTAAAAAAAAATAATAAGTAAATAAAAAGGAGTGGGGTTGGCCCAAGAAGAAAAAGTGGGAAAGAAAAAAAATAATGGGCCAAGGCCCAATTTTTGGTAAAAAGAAAAGGGAAAGATAAATATTAGAAAATAAAATCTGAAATTAATAATGTGATGATGAAATTACCATTTTACCCTAGGATGGGTAAATCACTAAATCACTCTTGAGATGTTAAATTACGAAACTACCCTTAGAAGAAGAATCTAACGAACTCGACCACACGGGTTGCGTTGATTAACCCGAATAGTTAACATACTACTCCGTAATATTAGTAGGATCATAAATTCCCGTTCTACCCTTGAGTGGGTGAATTACGATACTACCCCTAGTTAGTCAAAGTGTACTAACTTATCCTATTAGGTTATGATTTCGACTCCGACCTATTAGGGTCAACAACGGTAACACGTAAGGAATGTCACCGTACTTCACCATGTTACCCTCATCGATAAAAATTACCATTATGCCCCTATGTCATCAATTTACGAAAATACCCTCAAGAGTGTAAATGAGAAGTTTTGACTACGTTGCCAACATCAATAAATCCATATGTATATTGTGGTACCTAGAAAAGATTCAAATTACCATTTCACCCTCGAATGAGTAAAATTACAACTTTACCCTTAGAAAAAGGATTTGGCTTATCTAAACACGCTAATTGTACATGTGGTGATAGAGGATCACCATAACAGTCTTCGTGTGTTGAAATTACCGTTTTGCCCCTACTAGGCTAAAATTACAGTTTTGCCCCTAGAGGCCAGAAATGATTAAATGAGCTTTAGAAAGTGTGTTTCAACTCTGAAACTCGTTTCGAAACATTGTATGACATAAATTGTCGTGTCAAACTCTTCGATATTAGACCGTGGGTCTGGGTTTTGTATTCTTGTGATTTTATTCTATTTTGTCTGACTGTTTTGGTTGATTATTCTGGTTTATTACTTTGGTTTATAACTTTGATTATGATACCGGTTTTAATGATTTTCTTGTGTTGCACGTGCTTCTCAATCAGACGGCTGAGGCGCTGATCGAGACATTGGCTAGGCTCACAGTTGATTGACTTTGGGGGTGTACGAGTCCCCTGAACTGTGAGTGGGCTGTCCTCAACGGAGAACCCGTTGAGGAACTGTTTTATTACTGTTTTATTAAATTGTTTTATAAATGGTTTTTAATGAATCGTTTTGGGTGCATGAGCGATCTTGGAAAATGGTTTTGAATTGTTGGTAAGCATACGGGGACTCGTGGACTGGACGCAGTCCAGGGAGCACGTATGGCTGATATGGTGGTTTACTAGCTAGTACTTGGATATGTTGGCGGACCATGAGATGAGTTTGGATCCACATGGTTCGTCGCTCCAGGCCCGACACGCCATTATTTATATACCGGTTCGGCGTGTGCATGGGGGAGCTAAACTGGGTGTACTGCGGCCACCACGCAGTGCCGGACCCAGGCCAACGTCAGGGGAACGGGCTTGTTGTTGGAAAAATAAGAAAAGTGGTATTTTTACTGATGATTTGATGATGATAAAGAAGCCCTGACGGTTCCGGAGGTTGACTCGGGCCAAGGTCACTTCGGATATGTTTTGAAGGCAGCCCATGGTTTTAGACCGAAAATTGGATTTTGATACATGGTTTGATATTACTGATGGTTTTTATTACAAGCTGTTTTATAAACTGATTTGGTTGTGAGTGCACCCCACCCTCTTCTGATCCTCTTTTGAGGGTGGCTCACTCACTGGGTACATTCGTGTACTCACCCCTTCAAATTCTTGTTGTGTTTTCAGGGTAGTTAGGACTCTGCGTTCCCTCTGGCAGTCGAGTCGGTGGCATAGGATGTATTCACTGCTCTTAGAGATACTTCTCACTACATGACGGGTCCCACTGGCATTCTCTCTGTTTATTGTCATTCCTCGTATCTTGTTTCTTATTTACTAACTCACTATTTGGATTTGATTTGGTTTTCGATTTAAAATACTTTTATTATTTTGGTTTTTGACGATTCCCCTTTTACTCTGATTTATAAACTCGAGTATTTCAAATTTATTATATGTTCTCGTTTTTAATGTTTTTAATCTGATATTGACGCTTCGTGTTGCTTCGGAGTGCGTGACCGGCCGGCACGTGTTTCGAGGTGACATGGCGGTTGTCCGTGCTCGACTTCCGGGTCGGGGCGTGACAAAACACATCCATTTCAAATTTGTCACATCTACCCCAAGATTTACAGTCCCTGTTACAAACTTTTGCCCATCTTTTTGAAGTTCCCATGGGATTACCACCTACCAGGGGACATGATCACCATATTCCTTTAAAGGATGAATCTCAGGCAATCAAATTGAGGCCATATAGATACCCAACTGTCCAGAAAAATGTAATAGAGCACATGGTGCAAGAGATGAAGGACTCGGGAGTTATAAGGGATAACAATAGTTCTTTTGCCTCACCTGTAGTCCTTGTGAAGAAAAAGGATGGTACTTGGAGACTTTGCATTGATTATAGGCAGCTTAATAAGTTGACTATTAAGGACAAGTTTTCAATTCCATTGGTTGAAGAACTGTTAGATGAATTAGGAAAAGCCAAATTTTTCTCCAAGTTGGATTTAAGGTCGGGCTATCATCAAATTCGAATGGCCAATGCTGATATCCACAAAACAGCATTTAGAACCCACCATGGCCATTTCGAGTTTTTGGTCATGCCCTTTGGCTTAACCAATGCCCCCTCCACTTTTCAGAGCTTAATGAACCACATTTTTCAGCCCTTCTTGAGAAAATTTGTGCTTGTCTTTTTTGATGATATACTCATCTATTCTGAAAATTGGGACTCTCACATTCAGCACTTGCATCAAGTTTTCAAAGTTCTGGAGGAACATCAACTCTTTCTTAAGCTCTCTAAGTGTGATTTTGCTGCCCGACAGGTTGAATATTTGGGGCATATTATCAAGCAGGATGGTGTAGCCATGGATGATAAGAAAATAGAAGGGATACTTCACTGACTAGTGCCAAAAACATTGAAGGAGCTTCGCGGGTTCCTTGGACTTACTGGTTACTATAGAAGGTTTATTCGCAACTATGGAATTATTGCTAAACCCCTACCAGATTTACTCAAAAAGAATAACTTCCACTGGAATGAGTTAGCCACTGCAGCTTTCGAACAACTTAAAACATCAATGACTTCGGCTCCTGTTTTGGCACTTCCTGATTTTGATAAACTATTTGTGGTGGAGTCTGATGCGTCTCACTTAGGCATAGGTGCAGTGTTGAGTTAAGAGGGTAAGCCTCTAGCCTTTTTCAGCAAGGCCCTTGCTCCAAAGTACCAAGTATTGCCTGTATACGAGAAGGAAATGCTAGCTATTCTAACTGCAGTCAAAAGGTGGTCTGCCTACTTAATTGGGAGACATTTCTTAATCAAAACAGACCATGAGAGCCTGAAATATATGCTGGACCAATCTACCCACACGCATGCTCAGCATAAATGGCTGGTCCAAATGATGCAGTATGACTTTGAAATTCAATATAGGCAAGGACATACAAATGTGGTGGCAGATGTATTGTCCAGGCAACCTGTTGCCGAGCTACTCACTAATTCAGTTTTCTCCACTGATTTGCTTGCAAGAATTCAACAATCTTGGGAGCAAGATAAGTCCTTGGCAGGCCATATTACAAAAGTTAAATCTCATCCCATGGCTGGTGCTAAGTTTACTTGGAATTCTGGGCAGTTCAGAAGAAAAGGGAAATTAGTTGTGGGGGCTGATACAAAATTAAGAAGAGAGTTGCTAGAATTATTCCATAGCTCAAGTGGGGGCGGTCACTCAGGCATGGATGCAACTACGAAGAGAATTGCTGCTGTTTTGTACTGGAAAGGCATGAAGAAGGCAGTGAGACAATTTGTTAGAGAATGCTCTGTGTGCCAACAATATAAATATGACAACTCTGCATATCCAGGGCTCTTACAACCACTACCATTGCCCAAGAGAATATGGACAGACATATCAATGGACTTCATTGAAGGGTTGCCTAAATCTGGTGGTAAGGATGTGATTTTAGTTGTGGTTGATAGATTGAGTAAATACAACCATTTTATTGCGCTATCCCATCCTTTCTCTGCTTTGCAAGTAGCACAGGTCTTCTTAGATTCAATTTATAAACTTCATGGAGCTCCTGAGTCTATTGTATCTGACAGGGACAAAGTCTTTATTAGTAAATTCTGGACTGAGTTGCTTAAGCTCATGGGAACTAAGCTGAAATTATCTACAGCCTATCATCCACAGACCGATGGACAAACTGAGATTGTCAATAGGAGTTTAGAGACTTATTTGAGGTGCATGTGTGGTGAATGCCCAAAAGAATGGCTCAAATGGCTTCCTTTAGCTGAGTGGTGGTACAATACTTCATACCACACTTCAGCCAAAGCAACTCCATATGAGATTGTCTATGGTCAACCTGCCCCTCTCCACCGGCCATACTTACCTGGAGACAGCTCGGTGGCTGCCATTGACAGAAGTCTCCAAGCTCGGGAAGCCACTCTCAAGCTCTTGAAATTCCATCTGACACGAGCTCAAGAAAGAATGAAAGCCCAAGCTGATAAAAAACGCTCTGACAGAGCCTTTGAGATCGCTGACATGGTATATCTCAAACTTCAACCCTATAGGCAGAGTTCTGTAGCTACCAGAGTTAACATGAAGCTATGTACACGTTTCTATGGCCCCTATAAGGTTCTTAAAAAGTTTGGTCCAGTAGCCTATCAACTGGAATTACCTCCTGGTGCTAAAGTTCACCCTATTTTCCATGTGTCACAACTTAAGAAACATATTGGAAATCTGTCCAAACTCAGTTGCCAATGTTTGACTCTGATGGGCTAATTGCAAAGGAGCCGGTTGCTGTGCTTGAGCGAAGAATGGTTAATAGGAAAGGTAAACCTGTCACTCAAGTCCTAGTGCAATGGAGTAACACTTATCCAGAGGACTCCACTTGGGAAACATGGTTTGACCTGTAGAAGAAGTACCCTCATTTCCATCCTTGAGGTCAAGGATGTTTTGAAGAAGGGGGCATTGTTATACGCCCAGCTCATGCTCCAGGCCTAGAAAATTCAATCCAACTTAGTTATTATTTTTATTCTATCTGTTGCTTAATATTTACTTGTAAAACTTTATTTATCTTTATCCTTCTCACGTGTTGCACACGTGCCTCAAACGGTTATATTGTACTGAACAGCTCATTTGAAGACAACCAATGAAAAAAATCTAAAACAATTTCTTCTTCCTCCTCAAAACCCTCTGAACCCATCTAAATCCTCCCGTAAATTCTTTATCGCTATTTGTGTGCATCAAAAAGCTTGTAACCATTATTTTACTCCCTCCGTTCTGAAGCCATTCAATTAGGACCGGAGGGAGTATGTTATTATAATAGCAATAAAGATCTGTGTTGCTGCAGCACGAAGTTTTGGTGGGGGATGGTAAATCCTATTCTTAATTTTGGGCTTTTTTAAAAAAATTTATATAAATTTAATTTCTTAATTTGTGTCCGGGTATTCTTATTGAATTGAAGAAGTTACAGATAAGGTGGGCAAACAGCAAAGAAAGTGAATTCATAGATCTTAAATTTCACAATACTTGTTTTAGTAATGATTTTTTGGGTTCAAAGATTGAAAGCTGAAGTTCGAGTCCCCACTCTTGTCAAAATATAAAAAGCGTACTAGGATGAGTGTTCATCTCTTCTGGAAGTTGAGCTTAGCTATACAATATGCAAACACAGTGGCAAACAAAAGTGGGTAAAAGAGCAGCATAATTGCTGCAATGGGTAATTCTTCATGTTTATACCCAAAATGGCTTTCCAAGAAGGCATTGATCGCTTTGCGCTCTCCAAATGCTGTCACTTCCTGTTTTATGTCTCCATATTGTGAAGTCAGAAAAGCTTTCAAAGACCATGAAGTTGGGCAAACCCAAATGAACCAGACCCACCATTTAGGTAATTTCTGCAATAAGAAAAAGCCAGGCAGGTATTTCCTAAGTCTGCTTGAAATTTGTCTAAAGAAGAAAAAGAATTGATTGAAATACTGGTATGCTAAGAGTAGTAAGTATATTTAATAAGAAAATCAGTTTAAGTATGCTTACTGGTTCTGGTATGAGGTAACCTGAGAACAAACTAAGCAACGTGATATAGAAAGTTGATAATATTGAAGCCAATTGAAGTGTTGGAGTCAACGAAACAAACATCATTCCTACGTATTTGTGGTAGAGCAGTGTACAAAACATGGTGTAGAAATACCAAACAAGTTTGTAAGCCGAGCCATAATAATTGAGTGATGGATAGGTGATTGCCGAGAAGAAAAATGCTTCTAATAAGATGTATGGGATTTCAATAATCAGCTGCAAACATATATAGACAGAAATTTAAGAGCTGAAGATATAGCATGAATCACTAGAAATGCCAAGAAATGGATAGTTTTAGACCTGTGCTAATGAATAAGCCCACGAGGAGTACATTCTGCAAAATCTCTCTCGGTACACAATAGTCCTTTGAGCCACTATGGGCTGAAGAACAGACATACAACTGCTCACCCCAGAAGACATCACGAACACATAATAGGCTCCAAGTATGTTTAGAATATCCTGCTCATTATCTCTTTAAAAGAAAAATGAACATGATTTCAACATATGTTAGACGATAAATCTACTGTAATTTGTTCACTTGAAGTCTGAGACATGACTCCGCAAAGGAACATGTTTTTTCTCATTCTGACTTTGTGTTTCACAGGGTTAAACTGAATGGCACAAAGAAGCACTGCATTCAAGAAAGTAACTTACATTTTCTGACCTTTCTTCCAAAGAAGCACTGCATATAACAAAGAAGACGCTATAGTAAAAAAGAAGCGCCCTAAGTTATATATGGGACTTCTCCAATAGGACATGTGTTGCTTCCAAAGGCATGCTTTGAATTGTTCCCATCCATTTTGTGGATAGCTGATAGAAAACTGTAGTTCTTCAGAACCTTGTGTTGGAACACTTAGCTCCTTTACTAGTTCCTTGTTTATCCTGCAAAACAAGAAAACAAAGAAATCTATATCATTCTTGGAAATGGACATTAATGGTATGAAAGACAACTTTGCTGCAGAAATTTTTTGGATGGACTTTATTTCACTTAATTTATTTAGACTAGACTCTTACATGCAATTTGAGTTTAGGACTCATTTATCATGGCTAACTTACCTGTAGAGATGTGATTGTTTGTACAGACGGGCAAAATCAACTCCAATTTGAGATTCAGCAGAAGAATTTGTGATTTCTAACATCCATGTAGCTGGATTGTGATTTTCGTTTATTCTGGGTACCCCTGGTATGGCCTGTGGAAAGGATACTGTTATAATTACATTCTTAGAGTTGAGGTAATTGATTTGTTGCCATAATTACTTGAATCCATACCTCAAAGTATTCAATAAGCTTACTTGACTGCTGGCCTAGCTCTCCCGAATATATAATCTGTCCTCCTCTTTTCATCAAAATCAGCTGCAAGATTCATTCAAAGGCAATTGGCTTGTAAATAGAACAACTTGGCATGCTCAAGGATAGTTACATGTAATTTGATTTATACATATAAGATCATATTAATTATAAACCTCGTCAAATGCCTCAAATATGTCGATACTTGGCTGATGTATGGTGCATACAATTGTCCTCTTTGTCTTAACTATGTTTTTCACCACTCTCATGACAATTGCTGCTGCTCTGGCATCTAAACCAGAAGTGGGTTCGTCCATGAATATTATGGATGGGTTTGAAACAAGCTCTACTGCTATGGTTAGCCGTTTGCGTTGTTCTGGTGATATACCACTTACGCCAGGGATACCCACTAATGCATCTTTCAGGCCATCCAGTTCAATCATTTGAAGTACTTCTTCTACGAATTCCTGTCAGATAAGCAATTTTTATTAGTCAATACTCAATTAAGCCTTCTTAATGACTGAATATTTGATGCATGCACCAGAATGATTTATTTATGTGCTATATATATATATATATATATATATATATATGATGATTAAATATGAGCATTGCTTTAGGTTTGGACACATCTTACCAATCTCTCATCCTTGTCAACCTCCTCTGACAAGCGTAACCAAGCCGAATACATTACAGATTCCTCAATTGTAATTTGGGGAGAGTGTATATCAGTTTGCTCACAGTAACCAGATAATCTGGCATATGTCTCTTGAACTTTAGGATACCCTCCAATTTTGATCTCCCCTTCAATATAGCCACCAGTTTTTCTGCCAGATAGAACATCCATCAATGTAGTCTTTCCGGCTCCAGTGGCACCCATTAAAGCTGTAAGAACTCCAGGCCTAAATGCACCAGTAATGTCTTGAAGAAGCTGTATCTTCTTTTCTGAGAATCTTTGCTCCCTCAGTTTCTGTATATAAGTGGAACAAGTCAGGAAAAGTTTTCCTTTGTATTCAAGATTATAAAGATGAATATTGGTGAGTAAGGCATTGCGATCTTTTAACCCAAGCAACTAATTAACTTGAGATATATTGTCAAGCTAAACCTATACTATGATTTACCTTTGGAGTATCAACAAAGTATTGCACATTCTCAAATGATATTGTTACAGGCTTAAAGGGTAAAACCATTCCAGTAATTTTAGTTTCCTTGACAGTTCTTAGGACATCAGCACAAGGCAATTCTTTTTCCAGATTGGCATTGCTCAAATCTTCTTTTCTCTTGACATAGGAGAACTTTTCGTGAGAAATATAAGCCCGCGATCTACCTGGAGCTGTACAATATATAATTTTTTGCCCATTTTCATTTTTCAGAGCACAGAGGTCAGTACTTATAATTATAAATTCAAGACTTCTGTAGTCTTCTTACACTTTATATAACTCAACGCCAAGGTGAATGCAACGTTGAAAACAATCCAAAATCCTACTAAAGCTCCAATTGATATCCAGTAGAAGTAATCACTGAAATTTAGTCCATGGTTTTCTAAAATCTGATGGCCTAAAGTGGCATTTGAAGATGAAACCTGCAAGTGAAAAATGTAATAAGGTTTACAGATACCATTAACTGTTATGAATTAATTATGTAAATGTTTAGGGGATTATGTTTCTTACCTTTTGCCATCTTGGAGCTTGAAATTCATTTATTGAGATTGCTATTTCTATATATGATACAGGGGAAATCCAAAAGGCCCACTGCAACCAAGTAGGTAATGATGCTGTGAAGAAAGAAAAAAGGTTCATAATTAGTTATATTTTCATGAATGCTAGAGCTATAGACATTTTTCAAATTGTTTTTTTAGTTAGCAGCAAGTGGCCTTACATTTTGAAACAACAAATCCGCCCAAAATCAGTGCCACCAACATCAGAACTTGATTAATATATAGAGCAGAAGCAGCATCTTTAACTACAGAAGCGAGGAACCGGAAGAGTGATATTGCCATTTGATGAACAATGAAAAGGAGTAAGACTTGACGAAGAAACCTAACATTAACTCCATGATTAAGAATTACTAGTATTTACAAAAATAAATAAATATTGTTTATAAGGGGGCAAGAAAGAACCTTTCTAGTTCAGGACTGTAACCAATGGCATAATATGTAAGTGCTGTCCACAACAAAGAATCCAAAAATGAAAATGGAATCTTTAGAATAATTGCTGGAATCGTGTAAGCCCATGATGGATAAAAGTGCAAATCTATTTGCTTGTTCAAAACAGGAAGTCTGGAAAGAGTAAATGACAACTCTTCTGCTCCATTTTTCAGGAGTCTCATAATAGAATAAAACAAGGAACCCATGTAGTAACTGGCATGGACCAAATCAGTTTTCATTCGAGTTCGTATAAAAACTGACATGGTTATTATTGCAATAATAATAAGCTGCATTCCAAAAACATTAAGTATGTTAGAAGATCTAATTCATTTCTATGTTCTGTGTTGATTTGCATTTCAGTTGCCAAGAATAGTTAATACCTGTGCTGATTTGAAGACATAAACAGAGGAG